TCCTAAAACTCTCATGCCCTGATTTCTGTGATTCGGTGGCATTCTACTTCATCTCTCAGTTAATTTTTCAGTCTTTATATTGGCTTCATTTTGTTGTTTTGTACTGTAAATGTGGATATGCTCCTAAGATCCGTGTCTTCAGCTTTCATCTTTATAAAGATGGCATTCAAAGATATATCCCCAACCCCTGTGATATGATTTCAGTTGCCTAAGACTCTGCTGTTCAGGCCTCTTGCTCAAAAGATTGGTTACAAATGGAACAGGTCCGTTGGAATCACTGCGCTCTGTGAATAGCAACAATGCAGGAAGGAAATAGAAGTGATCAGTGATGACTGACCAGTTCCAATATATGATTCCAATACATGACTATGATTAAGAGACTATGGCACAGATATGAAAGCCAACAAATCCAGTATCATTTGGAGTGGGCACAGGATAAAGGTGAATGTCAGTCTACCAGGGGATAGAGAGAAAATGAAAAAGTAAATTCATATTAATGACAAATAAAACCAGAACCACTTTACTCAGTAAAGGACACATGTCAGTAAAGACACATATGCTTTGAAGAGAGATTCGTAGAAAGCCTAACAAGATCAGGATAAGGTGACATAAAGATAGGTGGAAAGGCAATTGATAAAGGCGTTATCTAAGACAGAGCTGTTGGTACATAGGGTCCACCACTTATACACGAATGGACTTAAACAGTAAAGTCTAAATGAAAGAACAGATTTTAATGTTATAAATCAATGTAATATGATATGCAAAGTAAAATAATATTGAGATGCTCTTACACACCCACTAGGGTAACTAAAATTCTAAAACTGACAATTCCAGATACTGACAAGGATGTAGAAGCAAGTGGAGAGACACAGTCTCTTTAGAAAATAGTCTGGTGGTTAGCCATACTTTTATCATAAGTTCCAGCAAACCGACTCTTCAGTATTTACTCAGGAGAAATGAAAACACATGTCCATACAAAGACCTAAACGCAAATTTCAAGTCATAATAACCAGAAACATCAAATGACTCAACTGTCTATCGACCAGTATAGGAATAAATAAAATTTAGCATATGTATGCAATGGCATACTATTCAACCAAAGAGAAAGAGCAAACCACCGACACACAACATGAGTGAATGTTAAAAACATTATGCTAAAGTGAAAGAAGCCAAGCACCATAGAATATAACCTCAAACTACCTGCTGCTGAAAGTTTAGCAAAAGCTCTGTTTCAAGAAACTATATTTCTATTTGAAAACCAAATCTTTTGTCTACCATTTCAGTATATCAGAATGAGCAAAGAGGTTTTTTTAAATTTAATTTTATTTTATATATTTTTTACATCATTTTTCATTTTTGCACAATGTATGCATTTTCATCTTGGTTATATTCCCCATGCAATTCCCACCCCCCCTTATTTTGACCCTAATCCCTCCCCCCAACTCCATAGTGTGTCTCTGGTTTATAGTTGCTTGTTGATTTTGATTTTTACTTTATTATAATTAGTCTTTTTCCTGACCCCTTATTTAGGTCTTCTAAATTCCTGCTATGAGTGAGACCATCCGGTATTTTTCTTTTTCTTTCTGGCTTATTTCGCTGAGCATGATCCCTTCCAGCTCCATCCATGTTGCTGCAAATTGCATGAGTTTATATCTTTTTTGGTTGCTGAGTAATATTCCATTGTGTACATGTACCACATCTTCTTGATCCAGTCATCTATTTTGGGGTATTTGGGTTGTTTCTATAGCTTTTGAATTAATGATTCTGTGTCCTTTGGGTAAATACCTAGGAGTGCAATTGCTGGATCATATGAAAGCTCCATCTTTAGCAGGTTGAGGAATCTCCACACAGCTTTCCACAGTGCAGGAGAGTTCCTTTTACTCCACATCCTCGCCACAATTTGTTGTAGCTAATTTTTTTAATATGTGCCATTTTCACTGATTTAGGATGGTATCTCATTGTAGTTTTGATTTGCATTTCCCTGATTACAAGTGATGCTGAACATTTTTTCATACGCTTGTTGGCCATTTGCATTTCTTCTTTGGAGAAGTTCCTTTTTTAGCTCTTATGCCTATTTTTTGACTGGATTGTTTACTTTGTTTTTTTGGTTTTTTTTTGAGTCTCTTCAGCTCTTTGTAGACTTTTGTATTCAGTCCTTTATCATTAGTGTTGTGTGCAAAAATGTTCTCCCAGTCGGTGGGGTATCTCTTTGTTTGGTTACTGTCTCTTTGAGCAAAGAGTTTTACACTTAGGAAAGTTACAGAAAAGAACAAAAATATCTGCAAGCTGTAATTATTTTACAAAGTGTAAATTTTTTCCTATCAAGAAGTATCTGCAGGGCCTCCCCGGTGGCGCAGCAGTTGAGCGCTGGGTTGCGAAGCTGCCGGCGGCCTCTGCGGCGCCGGTTCGATCCCCGGCTGCTCCCCGGCCACCGGAGGAGGGTCCCACATGGCGCGCAGACCTCTCCTGCCGCCCGCTGCTCCCCTCAGCAGTGTACTTCGGTCCTTCTGCCTGCTCTGCTCCCCGCTCTGGCTCTGGTGAATTCTCTCACCCTCCCGCGCTTCTGACTGTACCCAGTGCATGTATAAACAAAACAAACAAACAAATTAAATAAATAAATAAATAAAACATGCCTCTATTAAAAAAAAAAAAAAGAAGTATCTGCAAATGGGATTCAGCATTTGGTTAATATTTCTTTAATGAGGAGTTTCAGAGTATTTACCATCATTTTTGGAATGGTAGAGGAGCACATAGTGCATAACTGGTTTTAACTTCTGCCCTTGAATAGGTGTTATTAAGCAAAATATTAGCAAAGCTGATCACTCGCTTAGATTACCTAGGCTTTATGTCTGTATCACACCCAACTCAACTCCCACAAGCCCCCCTCCTCTTCAGCCTCTGTCTACCTCGTGTATTAGCCAGCTGTGTGGTTAACCAGATGTCTGCACCCTCCTGACTAGTTGATGGCTCACCATGATGATGTGACCACAAGAACATAATAGCCCCGTTTGTCAGATGCAGAGAGAAAAGGAGAAGGAAAAACTTTATGTCCTTTCTTCCTTGAAAAATATGAGAATTTATAAATTTAGTATAGCCCAAAACAGACCTACTCCAATGTCTTTCTCTTAAAGATGCTTCACCTTTAAGATCCTTTTCTGCCCTCAGCACCAACTTCAACATCAGGGCTAAAGAAAAATTAAGCAGAATCACTCATTCCTCTGTTACTGTAGTGGAAATTTCTCTAAATTTCTTCTAACACTCATAGATCAGCAAGTCCAAATAGTGAGAGACAGAAAGAGAGAGAGAGAGGGAGGGAGGGAGGGAGGGAGGGAGGGAGGGAGGGAGGGAAGAGGAGAAAGAGGAAACTAATAATGGGGTGAGGGGAGGAAAGCACTTCTACAGGGACGCTACCTCTCAATAATATTTCTAAATGTTCATTTTTACTTTGTTTACATTTTAAAAGGACAGGTTTATTAGCAAAAGGAGAATGAAAAAGAAAGGCACCTGCATAGTCACAGGTGGGCAGGAGAGCTGCTAAATATTCCTTTTTAATTGCTCTTTAAATGCCATGGAAAGGGTTTAGCATTTTATGGCTGATGGAGCGAAGGTAAGACAGGAATCTTTAGAGATGCTGAAAATGCACCTGTGACTAAAAGTCATTGAGCTTAATCACCCATGTTTCTGTCGGCAGCACATATTAGAAAATTGGGTGTGCTCATCACAAGCACAAGCATAATTCAGTCGCCATGTCCTTTCTCATCCATAGTCACATCAGTAATTAAATATGGAGGCAAATCTCAGAGGTGTTTATCATCCTCTTAGGGAGTGATTTCCAGAGGACAAGTACAGATGACTATACACTGTTTTTATAGCTTGTAAAATCAAATACAACATATCTGAGCAATGTAGACTTAAAATAGACAAATACATGAAGTTACTAAATTCCATTAGTAAGACGTGTATTAAATCCATTGCTGTCTCTCAGTGACTCACAGAGAGGCCTCGACTCCTGCAGGTTTTGTCACTTGAGCAAGTGTGGGAGCATCTGCCCAGCATCCTCTCTGCCTGCTGTACTGAAGGTTTCCATTCTCTTCAAAACTTCAACTCTACCCTCATTCTCCTCACGCTTCCCAGCAAACCTTCCTGAATCCAAGCTTCCAACATCTACCTTTTCCCTCAGTTATGCGTATTCCTATTGCCTCATCTATGGATATGGACAGAGATATAGAGCTATATGATAGCTGTGCTTATCACATTGTGGTGGAATTCTTTGCTCTAGACATGCAAAAAGAAAATAATATTCAATGTCGTAACTGACCTAACTGCTTTCGTCCTAAAGAAGTGGCATAATGTCTTCCCAGAAGTGTTTGCAAAGTACATCAAAAGGCAGCATTTGGTACAAAAGATAATGCCACCAGGGCCTATTTAGCAGACTATCAAGAAAGGAAGAAATAGTTCAACTCGACTACAAACCGAATATACTAGAAAGAGGTTAGGAGAATAGGGCAAGAGCGAGATCTGAGAGGAAAGGAAAGATGGAGTTAAGGCAGAACTACTAGCAGGGAGACCAGGAGCCTGTGGAGAAGCCCCTGATGCCAGCAGTTACAGAACATTTAAGAACAGGAATATATAATTTGGACATTGTATTTACTGCCCTATGACTCTGCTAGGTACCTCCATCCCTCACTCCACATCTTCAGGGGACCTGCCACACATATAAACACACAGTGTGCTTTTCTCACATGGCAAAGCGTCCAAGTCAGCTCAAAGCAGAAGCATCTTGCAGAGGCCAGCCATGAATAACGGCAGGTCAGGAGAACACCATGTAAGAACCCCGGGGGACTAGAGGAAAAGTAAAGTTCCCTCCAGGAACCCCCACAGGAAGGAGTGTAGGTCCCCTGGCTGATTTGAACCAACTGTTATTTAAATGTCAGTAGATATAATTATCCTGCCTGACAGAGCTTATCTTTGCTAACTTTTTTTCCTGTCTCCTCTTCTAGACTACAAGCATCACAATAGAAAGATGATATCTTCTTGTTCTTAGATTCCCCGGTGGTGTACACAGTGCTGGACTCTTTAAAGAGGATTTTCAGAAGATCTCTAAAAATGGAATCTAACTTAGCAGCCCAATATGTCAACTTCCCAAAGGTATTTATTTTTCCAAAAAGCCATCAAAGAGAGGGTTTCAGCAGAACGTGAAGATATATTTTAGAAGAAATCTGGGCCTCCCTGGTGGCACAAGGGTTTAAGCACCGCACTATGAAGTAATCCTCAGCACAAGTTCGATCCCCAGCCAGCCAGGGAGAAAACCACATGGCGAGGCAGACCTCTCCTGTCTCGCCTGCTGCTCCCCTCAGCAGTGTGTTTCAGTCAGTCTCCCTGTTCTGTTTCCCGCTCTGTCTCTGGTGGATCCTCTCGCTCCCCGCATCTCTGGCCTGAGCCCTATAAATCACAGCACATAGAGAATGGTCTATTTGCCAAGCTTGAGATCCAGCCATCACTGACCTTTCTGCAGGATTCCCATCCTCATATGGAACAAAGAGTGAGAGACTCAACCATTTTACCCTATTGTCCTTTCACATGTCAAATTCAAAGTGTTTAATGAAACCAAAGCATTTCAAGCAATCGCCATATTCAATATGACTGTCTTGCAATGTTTACTTTTATGCAATAACCTTGAACTGCAGCAAGTAGAATGAAAGTCATTTTGGAGGCTAAAATGTAGGTCAGGTATCTGGGTTTAAGTTCGTGGAAGGAGCGCACTCCCCCCAGCACTAGCTTCCTTCCCCTGAGGTTACTGTAAGAACATGTCTGTTTCCGACAGATGTGAGAAGCAAGTTTGGGTCTGAGAATGCTCTTCTGTGGCTCCCACATGGGGCACGTAGCAGTCAAACTGAAACATCATCCTTCTGCACACGAGTGAGTCAGAGACATTTCCCAGCCTGCACCTCCTCCTGTTACCAAGGACCTTGTTCAACTGGGCTAGCCATTAGAGAGAACAAATTGACCAGAATAGACTGAAAGGGTCTTATACACAATGAACCCCAATTATTGGTTTGCAGGAAGAGTGGCCCAGAGATGGCGCTTGGGTAGATCATGCCTAATAATTCCTTGAGTGATTGCTCTTCCAGATTGGGAATACAACGCCTAGGCTAATCAAATATCGAGATAGTGAAGAGTGATCCGGGCAAGAAATATTTTCAAAGAAGATAATCATATACATGTGGCATTTCCTATAACTATTATAACAAATTGCTGCAAACTCAGTGGATTAAAACAACACATGTTTACCCTCTTGCAGGTGATTGAGCCAAAAATCAAATCAGTACGCCTGTGCTCTCTTTAGGGGAGAAACTTTTCTCTGAATATTTCAAGTTTCTAGAGCTATACTCTTGGACAGGTGCCTTCTTCCATGTTCAAAGTATGTCACTCTCACCTGTTTCCAGTCATCATGTCATAGTATCCTCTTCTGCCATCAAACATCAAATCTCCTTCTTCCTCCCTCTGTGAAGGACACTCATGACTGGATAATCCAGGAAGGTCAACCCATCTCAATATCTTTTGCCTAAATCACATTTTGTAAGGTCCTTTTGCCATATAAGGTAACGGGCACAGGCTCCAAGGATCAGCATGTGGATATCATTAGGGGCTATTATTTAGCCTTCTAAAGGATGCAAGAAAGACTTTTTTCAAAGAAGAAAACAATCAACTCCACCCTACAGCACTTGAACACAATTGAACAATGAGTCTCTTGGTTATTTAGGAAGCAATAATTAAGATTATTCTCATTATGAATGTCAGTTCATTGCCATATTTTAGGCACGGAAGTGCTTGTTAATACAGAATTCTGGCAAATAAATAAAATCAGAGGTTCAGTTCTATTTGACTTTGGAGTAAATAGGCATATGATTGTTTTGTTCAGTAAGAGCATCCTAAAATCTTTGAAACCTTAGTGCAAATAGTAGAATGAGAAATAATCTGCTTTTCCAAGAAGCAAGCTTGTTGCCTTGCAACAAGCCATGTCTTGAAACCCTCTATTTTTTTTCTGAGAAATGCACACAGTTAGTCCCTAATTATGCAAATATAAAATGAAGCAACTTGAGAGGCTGCAGTTCCTGGGGATTAAATTGCTCTTTGTAAAAGGTGATTTGAAAGGTCATTTATATTAGCGGCAGAGTTGCATCTCCACAGAAGATGCCCTTTGTAGAAAAATGCCTTCCTAACTCCCCATATATTGTGCTTTTCTGCACTGTTGCATGTTACAGAGATAGGTGTTGGTGTATTTTTAATCAGCAATTGTTGAAATAATCAGAAATGCAGCAATAATATAAAGGCACAATTTTAACTGCTGTTAAAAACCAGAACAAAAAATAGAATTAGACTAGACATAACTGAAAGTTCGATGCAGGAGGCCTGAATGCAAAAACCCACCAGGAAGCCTACCTGGGGGCAGGAATGCAGACGCCTGCCTAGAAAATTCAGACAATGAATCCCTCCCTGCCCTAGAATCTTTTCCTACCGTGCAAACCCAATCTCCCACCTGACCTCTCCTCACCGCTGGCAACATGCATGACTTCAACCCCCACCTTGGGTCCCTGAATTCTGCCCAGGGCACAATAAATTTCCCCTTCCTTTGAGAAAGTTTAGTCTGGCTCTCCTTTTCTTTACCACGCCGAAACTTTCAATAACCCACTTCATCTAGGCTCACAAATTTAAGGCTGAATGAACACCAAAAAATGTAACAATGCTGGGCTATTGTAGTCTGAAATCATTGCTCTTAAGACCTGTCCTCATGACTATGGCCATGCAGTAAATGGCTGTGTTCTCCAAGCCTCCCTCAAGAGACTTGGCTGTTCCTGGCTGCCTGTTGGGAGATTATCAGGCCAGAGCATTTACATGTGGCCTCAGGGCATTATCAGAGTTGCTGAGCATTTTGCATGGCAATTGGCATCCCCCAGAATAATCAGAAGAAAACGGGTGGAAACTACATTTTTGTGACCTAGTCTTGACAGGCATAGCCCCTGACAGGAGTTACCAGAACCACACCTGCAACTGCCTAGATAGGGCAAAGATTGGTTATCCAAAACCAGACAGTCAACTAAGGAAGAAAGCAATACAAGAGACACCAGAGTGAAGTGAAGATGTTGCTCAGTGATTTCCAGAAACCACTAGAGAAAAGACTTGATAGAGAACTAGACTTCCTATATTCATGCAAGATGAGAGCCATTACTGTAAGGTCAAGGCCGGGGCAGCGATGAGGCAGAGGGAGTGTTATAAGCCACCTTCCCTTTGGTGGTGACGGGATTTGTCTTTCCCAATGTCCTGACGGCTTTGGTCTGGAGTGGGGGTGGGGTCCACAAAGCCTGTGTGGGATTAGCTCAGAACATCCTTTCCCCCTAACAGGAGGAACTTGAAACTGCGGCCACCTGCATCCCGGCCACCTGCATCCCGGCCACCTGCATCCCAGGAGCTGGTTCTACCAGGGAGCTGGTTCTACCAGGGAGCTGGTTCTACTGGGGTTGCACTACTCCAGATAAGCAGCCATGAAAGAAAAATAAGCTCCAAGAGAGAACAACTTCTTTGAAAAGCAACTTCACACCACCTCCCACCAAGGCCAGACCCAGTCCTATAAAAGATTACCCTCATGCCCTGAGGGACAAGATTTCTCCAACCCCTGCAGGGGTGGGTGAACTTCGCTGGGGCGCAATAAACTTTTTGCCTGTGAGAAATTTAGCCTGGCTTTCCTTTTCTTTACCGCACCAATTCTTTCAATTACAACTGGGGTTCTTAATGGAAGTTGGTAAAATCAAGAACATACTGGTTTATTTCCAAAGAACGTAAAACTTAAAACTCCATATTGGATGAGGGAGCAAATATTGGAATAAACTGGGCTTCCCTGGTGGCCTAGGGGTTAAGTCTCAGCACTATCACCTCCATGGCCTGAACTCAATCCCCGGCCAGGGAGCTACCCATATGTGCAACAGACCTCTCCTGTCTCACCCAGCTGCTCCCCTCAGCAGTGCATTTCAGTAGATCTGCCTGTTCTGCTCCCCACTCTATATCTGGTGAATCTTCTCACCCCCTGAATCTCTGGCCGACACCCCGGTTCTTCTACACAAAAAAATTATATACACATATGAATAAACATGCTCTCTGACCATTCTTTATCACAGAAGAAATGAGCCTCAGGTTTCATGGTTCAGAGACTTCAGTACAAGCAAATGATTCTGGAATCTCTCCTTTTTCCTATAGAAAGGCAATGTGGCTTAATGCTATAAAGGCAGAAACTACCACTAAATGACTACTGTAACCTAAGAAAGGCTCTAATTCCATCTGTGCCTCAATTTTCTCATCTGTGCAATGAAACTAATTAATGGTCCCTCAATCAGAAAGTAATGATAAAAATTGAATGAGTGCATACATGCCTAATCTAACCTTTTGATAAATGTTGGCTTTCGGTAAAAGGGCTCTGGTACAAATGAGAATAATGAAAAATCATATTCTGTACAACAGTAATAATTAAATCATTCCTTTACCCAGTAAAACTCATCCTCATATGACAAGAACTTCCATTCATCCAAATTCTGACAGCTACGTCATGGTACACAGAGCAGATCTCACAAAGCTAAGGCACATAGATCCAAAAAAAAAAAAAGACATATTTTCTTTTATATTAATTCTATTTTCTGTGTGTTTACAAATGCAGTTGACCAGAAGTTTGGCATCCCACTTGCAGACACAGTCAAAGGCAAATGGCAGAAGCAAATCTTGCTTGTTAGTGAATCCCAGTTGGGGTTTGAGGTAACTCCAAAGGCAATCAGGTATTTGACAAGTGGTCTGTGGGAAATCTGGGTCTTTTCTTTCTAAAATGTTGTAAGGCCCATGAGTGTGGAGTCAGCAGAAGCTTAGGACTCTAGGAATCTCTTGCTTGATACTTTCATATTTTATGGTTTTCTGTGAGAATGTGTCCCCCAGGAAGGCCAGTCCCATAACTTCCTACTCCTGCCTTCAGCCAGTGCCACCATCCAGGGCTGTGCCTCCAAGAACTGGTCTCCGTCAAAGTCATGAGAAAGTGGTTGCGGGAGATGGTCACATGTCTTCTCGTGTTGTCACCACTGTAAACAAGGCCTGGTCCTTGCCTTCGAGCCACGCTCAGGGCTGCGGTGTGTCACCTACAGACAGAAAGTAAGGAAACCACAGAGGTAAGCCAGTGGGGTAGGAAGTCTGTGAGCTTTGTGACAGCCACAACCAGAATAGGTTAGCATCAGTGTCTAATGCCTTGATTTACTTGACTTTGAAAACAAGCATTATAAGTTGGGAGTATTTATCCATAGGTCCTGCTTAAGGTGCCATATTAAAGTAGCAAGCAAGAATAGTAACAGCTAGTTCAAATTTGGAACTGCTATAATGCTTTACATTTATTCCTTTTAATTCACACCACAACACTATGAGGCCAGAATTATTGTCATCCTCATTTTAGAGAAAACTGAGACTCAGAGAAATGAATTCACCCAAGGTAGGCCTTAGATCTGAAAACACACACACAGAATATTAATGTGGCAGGTAGATAACTCTCTCTATATGCATTTTAACATGAGAGTTATATAGTGGCACATATGTGAAGACACATACTCTTCTGCCTATATGATAACATTCACAATTTTTAAGAAAAAATAAGAGCAGCTATAAGCACTATCTAATTTTTGTAAGGTTCAAAAAAAAAAAAAGAATAACTAAATAAATTCTGGCTCATCAACTTCAAAGATTAGAATGCGGCCACTCAAAACTATTGTGAACACTATACAGGAACACAAGAAATGCATAAAACAGAATGTTAAGTAAAAAAATTACCACATAAGGTTTGCATGTATGTGATAGTTACAGTCTTATAAAGTACATATCTGAGAAACAAAAGAAAAGAAGAGAAAGCAGGGCCTCCAGGAATGTTACTTTGGGCTGGTCAACCACAGGTGTAACTTGGAAACCACGCTGGGCGCCATACTGTTATAGGGCAGCCCCGATACAAAACGGGGTGCCTGACTGTGGGTCCTCACCTGCGCGCTTAAAAGGACTTATCAATACTCTACTGCAGGCACATGCAAAAGGTTAATAAAAGGTTTATTTACAAAGGAAGGGAAAATGGGGAAATGTACAGCTCTGGGAGAAAAGTGGGAGACAAAGTTTTAAATGCGTCCTACCCGATCCGCAGATCAGGAATCCCAAATGGCACTCTGAGAGCTGGCCGCAAGCCAGGAGCTGTGAAGCCAGGAGGCTAGCAACAGGGCAAGAAAGACCCCAAGGCCCATGTATTTGGTTTTTATACCCAACCTGGCTGTTTAACTCCACCCTCAGGTCCCAGCCACCTTCCCTTTGGTGGTGACGGGATTTGTCTTTCCCAATGTCCTGATGGCTTTGGTCTGGAGTGGGGGTGGAGTCCACAAAGCCTGTATGGGATTAGCGCAGGACATCCTTTCCCCCTAACACCCTGATGGCACAGCGGTTGAGCGCTGGGCTGCAAAGCTGTCCGCAGCCTTTGCAGCACCGGTTCCATCCCCAGCCTCCGGTGAGGGTCCCACATGGTGCACAGACCTCTCCTGCTGCCCGCTGCTTCCCTCAGCAGTGTATTTCGTCACTCTGCCTGTTCTGTTCCCCACTCTGGCGCTGGTGAATTCTCTCACCCTCCCGCGCTTCTGACTGTACCTAGCTCTTGTATAAATAAATAAATCTTAAAAAAAAAAAGAGAGAGAGAAAGCAAAGCATTAAAAGTGGTATGTGGTTGTAATAAGATAATAATGACTTTTCTCTTTTTAAAAAAATTTGTTTATTTATGCATACAAGAACTGGGGTACAGGCCAGAGGTGTGGGTGGTGAGAGGATTCACCAGAGACAGGGTGGGGAACAGAACAGGCAGATTGACCAAAGTACACTGCTGAGGGGAGCAGCGGGCGAGTCAGGAGAGGTCTGCTGCACCGTGTGGGTACCCCCCTGGCCGGCCTGGGATCAAACTTGTGCTGCAGAGGTTGCAGATAGTTTCACAATGCTGTACTTAACCCTTGCACCACCAGAGAGGCCCCGACTTTTATCTTTTTTAGTAACATGATGGACAATATTCTTACCACATCAGGTATTATTTTAAGTACCTCTTATATAAATAATCTTAGCATCTTAGCAACCCTATAAAGTAGAACTGTTATCAGCCCCCTGTTATAGTAGAGGAAATAGAGGCTCAGCATAATTAGATGACTGACCCCAGATCAATAGTAATTCATGCAGCTAGTAAATTTCAGAACTGGCATTTTAATCTGACACCTAGTTCCAGTGTTCAAGTGCTTGGTTGTTACACTGTAATCTCTGATATTGCTGTAATATTTGTACAATTTAAGAGAAGAGATGAATATTTTGCATCTTCATGTTCAAATTGAAGTTATTCTTTTCTTTGATCTTAGTTTCTAAATATTTTCTCTTCAGTAGTGAGCAAAATTCTCAAATCAGCACCCACCACATAACTGTTAATGAGTCAGCAGTAAGTCGAAATCTTCAAAGCACATGTTTCACACAGTCCCTGCTATACATTACCAGACTAAGGCCATGTACCTGGGACTAATAAGCAGAGGTGTGTTTCTGAAAGGACAGAGAGAAATGGATCTCCAATGCTCCTTATTGGTCAAGAATTAATCCTGAACACCTCCAGAAAGGTAAGAAATATTTTAATCATACTTTATTTTCAGATAGGAAAATATGCTTGTGATGAAGTATTAGATAACTCACCCATCAACTTTATGCAGATGGACTGATTATATCATCTAATTGATCAAGTAAGTCCAAGAATATGTAATAAGTCCAAGAACATGGAATTCAAACCTTGATGCTAATATTTACTCTATAGTTCTTGTGGCCTTAGTCAAGTAATTCATTCCTCTTATCCCTCATCTGCAAAATGAAGATAATTCCCAACTCATGTCAATAAGATGCACTTAAAACAGCACCATGCCTGTAACACACAGCCACTGCAGTATATATCAGCTGCTATCATTGTAATCATTTTTATTGTTTTTACTAGCCATCAATGAAATGGCTTGCAGGGGCACATTAATACACCAGACATGAAAAACGAGGTTCAATTGCAAATGTGATTTAATCCTATTACAAAAGTAAGAAGATGCAAAATTATGACTTGGTAAGTATAACCACCCTGATTATCAGATTCAAAAATATAAGTAACAAAAAAATGTAGGAAAATCCTCCATATAGAAATGCTTCCTCTAAATCCATTGATTGGGTCAATATCCCACAGTCTTCCTCAGGACTCTTCAAGGATGAAGGAATAATTTTTTTTGTAGACTGGTGACACATGGGACACACAGTCCAAGTTCAAGGCTCACCAGTTTTGGAAGCTACTGCTTTTTCTATGTTTCTTTCCTTAACACCAAATAAGGTACCAGAAAAAATGTGTTTGTGACTGAGAAAAAGTGTGTTCCTTCACAGCCTGAGGGTAATCCAGCTGAACACGCATCACCCCTGAAACTTATTGAACTAAAAATGCTTTTCTTCTCATCTATATCAGTGTGGTAGACAGCAATGACCATTTGGGCCCAAGGGGAATTTTTTCACTGTATTAAACCTGTAGCTTTCTTTACTCATTTCAAATTAGTTTAAGATGATTTGAACAAAACAGGTATATAATCATGACTGATATTTAACAATACGTAGGTCTGTTTAAACTACACGCATGTGTATACCAAGAGATTAAGTGGTGAATGGAAAATTGATAACTCTGAGGAATAAGATAGCTGCAGTGTTTAAGCATAAAAGTTCATTTTGAGTACCTTGGGGGCAAACAAAATAGGAACTGTAAATTCTGTGCCCCTGGAATAATGACTACATTTACGAGTGCCCAGCATTTCCTGAGGACTGTTGTAAGTCTTTTGCACTGTGTATTTCACTTAATTTACACACAACTGGGGTCTCCCTGATGGTGCAAGGGGTTAAGCATAACACTATGAAGATATCCACAGTCTCTGCAGCCTGAGTTCAATCCCCAGCCAGCCAGGGAGCTACCTACATGACACAGCAGACCTCTCTTGTCTCGTACACTGCTCCCGTCAGCAGTGTATTTCAGTCTGCCTGTTCTGTTCCCCACTCTGTCTCTGGTGAATCCTCTCACCACCCACACCTCTGGCCTGTATCCCAGTTCTTATATGCATAAATAAATAAATCTTTAAAAAAAATTTACACACAACTTTTTAGAATAGATAGTATCACCTATTTAACACATGAGGAAACTGGTCTCTGAAATACTAAATTGCCTAAATTCATACAACTAGAAAAAGGCAGAACCAGAATTCAAAGCCAAAAGCTATCTAAATACAAAAATGAATTTTTCTATCTTTCTACTGGGAAAAAAAATCAGTTTCCAAACCATTTTCCGTGTTGTAAATTCCAAGTGAAATGTTTTGCTTGGAACTTTACAAATAGAGTGAATTTTATCCAGATTTCAGAAGGCTTGGGGTGAGGGAAGGGAAAGCTATTGAGAACGTTTTTCCCTCAACCAAGCCATCATAAATAAGAACTGGATATCAAAAGAAAAGGCAATATGCTTTCAAGTTTATAGTGGAATGAAAAGTTTCTCTCTCCACACATTATGATGGCAAGAATGTTCTGGAACACGTGGAAGGCTCAACTTAGTGCATGCCTCCTACAGGCAAAACAAGAGAACTCTGAGTCCCAGAAAGCTGGGTGCCCAACCTGGGCATTCTCCTTCAGCCATGTCTCTAGTGGCTGCTGGAGAAGACAAATTCCTCCGCAAGAGAGCTGTTTCTTTCCTTGTGACCCGATTACAGGAATCTGAGAACAAAACTTCCATCTTGTGATCAGGAGAGGACATGTAACTTCCTGCACAACAGGCAGCCCTCAGCTTAAGCTAGGAAGCTGTAACTCGGGGTGCACAATATGTAAGATATTGGAGCTATGGGATGTGGAGGTCCTGCTGTTCCCCATTGTAGGGTGGGTGAAGGTGTCAGGCTTTTCTGCCCTCCCAACATTAGGGTGAATGACGGAGCCCTGCGGCCCTGAGTGCATGCCTGATGGCGGGCACCTGAAGTGGGGTGTGGGCATACCTGGGCTAAGAGACTGGTTTATAAGAGTGGTGCAGCAGAGTGCAGTGTGGTGATGCGGTGTCGAGGGTGGAGGAGTACGGCCACTACAAACAACAGGGAAGAGCATTTGGCTGCTAGAACAGTTAATAAACCTACCCGGAATGGGTTGGTTGCCTTACACCCCTCCCAGGGCCAGACTTTGGCCAAATAGAGAAAAGACTGACAAGGAAACCCGACAGAGGGCTGCAGACCAACATGACAAGCCATGAGTGTGGAGATAGTGAACCTGTTTCTGCCACTAACCACCCAAGTGAACTTGAGCATGTCACCTAGTTCCTCTGGGCTCATCTGCAAATAAGAAAGGTCAATCAGGTGATCTACAGGAACCCATTCAGCTCTACCAACATGATCCTACCAAATCTTCCCTTTGATCTGACTGGTTATTAGCACCTAATGGAGGTGCTCCCAGGGTCCCCCAAACTTGCGCTTTCTAAAACGGGTCCTGTCACTCTACACAAAATACAAAGCAGCCCCTTAGTGTGATAGATCTTTAACAGACTCACTGTGCATAAAGAGAGAAGAGAGGATGATGATAGTTACCCAATAAAAAACCCCAGGTTACTCATCCCCTCATGAGCAAATGCCCAGCCAAAAAGGGTTGGCCCAAAGGGGTACCACTGAAGCACAAAATCTTGCCACAAGTCTAAGCCACATCTTAGCAGGGGCCACAAAAGGGGGCAGGGCAAGTCCTGGAGAGCTGGGACAAAAGGAGAGTCAGAATTTAAAATACACCAAATAATCCACCATGAAGTCATTGCCATTGTCTCTACCAAGGACCAGGAGCAGCCTCCCCACATGTCTCTTACCATGTGTCTCTTTCAAGTGTCTCTATGTAGCTCTTCTCCACACATCTCCTTCCAAGCCTCCTCCCCAACAATACCAGGGAGCAAGTCAGTCAGCAAGAGAGAGCCTTTCTCAAGCTCACCTGCCTTCCGTGTTCCCTAGCTTCACCTGGCCACTCAGCTTCCTGCTTAGTTCCTTCTGTAACTCTCCATATAAGCCTCAAGACCATTTATAATAAAACAACTCTCTGACTGATGGAAACAGAGTAGAATGGTGATTGCTAGTGGTTGAGAGGTAGGGCAGATGTTGGTCAAAGGGTGCAATCTTCCATTTATAAGCTGAGCAAATTCTAGGGATCTGATGTATGGCATGGTGACTATAGTTAGCCATACTGTGTTACATACTGGGAAGTTACTAAAAAAGACATCTTAAATGTTCTCATCAAAAATAGAAGGTAACTGCATGCAGTAACTCCGTTATTGTGATGATCATTTCATACAACATATACATATATCAACCCATCAAGCTTCTACAACAAAATTTGTAATTATATCACAATGAAGTTCACTAAAAAGTTTCCCAGATCACACACACCAATTAGTATTACTTTAGTGTAGTAAAGTAATTTTTATTATTATAAAGTAACTTTAACCCTAGTGCACTGAGGAGAAATGTGAAAAACACCTGACATGTATAGAGAATTTCAAAGCCTTTGGGCTGCAAGTTCTGTGAGTACAACTTGAGACATGAAACAAACACGTGGAATATGTTTCAATTATTATTAATACTTTATTATATTAGTACTTGATATATTAATTTTTCTCTTTAAATTTTACATAATCAATACATTATAAATACATGGACAGTTTCTTATATATATATAAATATCAGGCCGACCTCATCTATATTTAGCAAATGATCCACAGACATACCCACTAGATCCTTAAAAACCACCCTCCCCACCCCACCCTGCCCAGCCTCTCCCGCGCTCACACACTGCAGTTCTAATTCCTACATGAGCCCCATTTTGCCAGCAGAGACCCAGGCAATGACATTGTATCGCTAAAGTGCATGGCTAGGAGTGCGATGAGGACTCTCGTTCCCCATCCATTTTTAGGGGGTTGGAACAAACATCTCAGGACTATGCAATGCTGATGAGCCCCCAAAAGTTACTGCAGCTAATACAGAGCTTTGACAATTCCATGCAGGTCTTATTAAGAGGTCTGTGAAGTGGAACAAATGGAGGACCCCCGCAGGACTGCTGCAGCGCGCGCCGGGGAGCAGGCATCCTTTCAGCTTCTTCAGCTGAGCTAACGTGCAGCTGACAGGCCACGCGCCTGGACGACAATGGGCCTCACGCAGGTACAGCCAACCTTCACCCGCACCTTCTCTAGCTGGAAAGAGCGAGGGCAGCCCTTGGGCTCCCTCCGGAGGACCAGGAACTCTTGCTCGATGGCCACGGAGCTCAAGGAGAGATCCTCCTTCCCCTCGGCATTGAGGCAGCCAGAGAGCCTGCAATCGGCCTCTGCGATCTCGGAGGGGAAGCGGTGGGGGTCCCGGGTGATGCTGTAGGTGGAGCAGGCAAAAGAGGATGGTGAGACAAGAAAAAGGAAGGCAAAGGTTGCGCGCCCCTAAGCACCGGGCGCTCATCTGCAGAGGCACTTGCAAGTGACTCTGGGTTGCGCGCGCAGGGCCTGGGTATGAAACACCGTCCTCTGGCGGCGCTGAACCGCCAAGCGTCCGTTTCCTCCCTGGGATTCTCAAAAGCCTCTCACCAGCCTCTCTAGTGACATTCTTGAGAACGTTCAGGGATACAGATGCGTGTGTGCGCTGCACTGTAGAATGCCGACATTCAATAATAATGTCTTTCAGTGTGCTTTCTTTGTATGGCTTTTATTACCATTAGTAATCATCCTTTACCTCGAGACTGCACATCACTGGTTAAGTCTCCCAACACAGTCTACAACATTTACTGCTTGTAAGAAAATCCAAAGCCCCAGAGGTCTATAGAAATCCAACCTCTTATCTCATTTTTTCCCTCAATGGTTACCCCCACCCCAACCCTGCCAGGAGGCATAACAGCACAGTCAATCCCGTGAACTTGGCACCATCTGTACTCCCTTCATTGGGGAAGCAACACAGGCAACCCAGAAGCCCGTCCCATTGTCCCTGGAAGGTTTTTATTCTTATATCTGGAGCAAGTGCTTGGTTTTTGTTTTTTTGGTTTTTTTTTGTTTTGGTGGGACCCTCGCCGGGGGCCGGGGAACGAACCGGCGCTGCAGAGGCTGAGGGCAGCCTCGCAGCCCAACGCTCAACCGCTGCGCCACCAGGGGAGGCCCGGTGCTTGGTATTCTAAGAACTTACACATCTAAGACAAAATCATGAGATGGTGCCTTGAACCTCCCGGTCTAGCACCCTAATTCCCAAACTGGCCTTTCTCTTTCTCCTGCCCTCCTCCTCACTCCTTGAAAATTGATATCGAATCTAAGTGGATAGAAACGGAGATATCAAAACTGCCTTTTCCGGTTATCACTTATCCGCATGCAGAGACTACTTTTAAAGAGCTCTCTCTTCCAGCACAAAATGTCTATTCCAATCTAGAACTGCAAGCAACCGTAAAAGGGTAGAGAATTTATGAGAAATTGGAAGCAAAATAGTGGGGCCCTTGACCACATTTATGGGAGGACCTATCCCAGGACAGCAATATGGGAGCTCCCAGGTAAAGTGGGATTTCTGTCCTTAAGAGTGAATATGAATCATCAAATATTTATTGAACATTTACTATGCTTTGTATGGGAAAGTGTGCTATCTAGTGTGACCACTCTTATTTGTATACCTCTAAACAAGATATTTTAAGTTTTGTCTGTTTTGGAACTTTATATAAATGGGATAATTTTGAATCTCTTCTGGGTTTTGCTTCTTTTGAATGAAACTATATTTGAGATTTAATCATATTGAGGCAAGTAGGTGTTCATTTTCACTTCTACTGTTTTCTACTGTATTGTACCACCATAATAAAACTGCTCTATCTTATGTAAAAAAAAGAAAGAGTGAATATGAAGGCTTTCCCCCCTGTATTTTCTAAATGTTCCACATTATGATTAGAATAAATTAATATATTTTTCATAAGAACATCAGTCTTGTTTGCACTTACTTGTAATCCCAGGGGGAGATGGAGCGGTTATGGAAGACAGATGCCAGGGAACCACCCTGCTTTTGACCGAGGATGTGAATGTCAACCCTTACACTATTGTCCTCCAGAGGAGGGCAGTGGACATTGTCCCCTGCTTTGGGGTTTTTCCGAGCTGCCACCTCTCTCAGGAGGGTGATCCCCAATATCAACAGCAGCAGAGATTTGACCTGAAAAAGAGAGGAGGTAGCAATTGATTAGGGACTTTAATATCACTTTCTGGAAAGAGACATCCCAAGCTCTGGCTGAACTCAGCATTCCTGGTCTTTTATGGGGTCAGGGATTCTCTGAACCTCAGGCATGCCCGTGAAGTGGGAGCAGTCAAACATGAAGGTATTGGGGTAGCAAACTGAGAGCTAAACTCACTAGCCAGTGATTGAATGAAACTATATTTAAATATATACTGTCTTATAGCTCCTAAACAGTGAAGCAGAAAGGTTTCAGGATCTGGAACTGGGTTTCAGGATCTTGATCTGGTTTCCTCACTGATACTCTGGAATCTCATCTTTCCGAGTGTATTACAATATTAGCTTTATATTCACAAGGTTAAATGAAATGTCCTATGTAAGGCACTTATAAATATAACCAAAAAAAAACAAACAGGTGTAATAAAGAATAGCTCTTCCTTTATTTCTAACTTTTATATCCATAAATTTATATGTAAATATCCTGTTATATTTATATCCTATGAATCCTCAACAAAATCCTTTCTCCCAACCACCCTTCCATCTAAAATGCACGTGTTACAGAGCAGGTGTTTTATAAATACTTTCTGGATGAATGAAAGAGTGGGTGAGTGAATGAATGAACAAAACAATACAGTTAAATGAGCAATATAGTTAAGCTCAATGCATTAAGAAAAACATTATGCAAAACTAACTATAGCAAAGTTCCAATTATCCATGTTAATTGAAAGAAGCAGGGACACTAATGATGCACAACAGAGAATATGGAAACTATTTCTCCTTACTCTGGAACATATATTTTGTATGCTTACATTGAAATATTGGTTTGTCTGGTGTTACAGGGATGCACAAAGAAAGTGCTCTGTGAGCACTTTCTGTGAAGACCTAATGAAAATAAAGGAAGAGCTTAAAGTCTCTCCAGTTTTCCTCATCACAACCATGTTTTGCTCCCCCACCATCACCACTGACCCTTATTGAAGACAGACAAGGCCCATCACTGACTCTCAACAGAATGCAGAACAAGAGCTGAAGCTGAGTGGATTTCATTCTCTGAGTGCAATGTTGTTTGGGTACAAGCCTTCCATGAGTTAAGGAAGGGGCGGTGATTACGCATGGTGAATTAAATACTGCTTTTTATATTTTGCAGATGCTGGAGGCAAGAAGGTGTAAGAGTAAACCAAAAGGTCAGGCCGTCAACTTGCTCTACCAAGGTAACTGATACTAAAAAGAAGTTGAAAGCAAGATTGACCCAGATAAGCCTAACTGAGGCTGATTTGCCTTTAGATAATCAACAGTCATCTGCTTTTATCTCCCACAATCATTCATTCACTCAACTCTTGTCTCTATAATTTGGTGCTTCAGGCTCTGGAGTCAGATGTCCTGGGTCCATAATTCAGCTCTAGTACTCTTACTAGCAGTGACTTAATTCCCTCACTTAATGTGAAGTTTAAATAATATGACCGATATAAAGCATGGAGAGCGTTGCTAGCAGAAGGTAAATATTCAATACCAGGATTTATCATTGACATTGAGCTTATGATACGTGGTGGACAGGAAAATGAGCATTTGCCCTCATGTACCCTCTGTCTAGAAAAAGTGCTATGACATTTTAAAAAGTGAAAGGATGGATACTTAGACAAGATCACTCCCCAAGCCTACCAATCACTTCCTTAGGTTTCTTAAGTAAATTTCCCCTTTGTGTTTTCTCTTTTCTCTTCTGCATCATATCCACTGAATCACTTTAAAACTTCATTATCAAACCTTTAAGGTAATAGTACCTTGGGGTTATATGATTTTAGTAATAATCACTATGCTTCTAACCATCATTATTATAATCATATATCTTTATAGAGTATTTCAGAAAACACTCACATTTCTTTAAACACTTGATTCTCTCAGCTATCTTATAGAGCTAGTGTTAATAATATTAATTTTTGTTTTACTAGAGGAGCCAAGCACTTTAAGCAATATGACAGCGAGGTCAAAATTGCATAAGTGTTGTTAGTCACATGGCCCTTTATCAGAAGATCAGATGATATCTGCAAATCACTCTAGTTTGCTACACAAAGCTTTTGATGTGAATCTTGGATATTAGTAGTTATGTAATATAGAGCAGGGCCCCTGGTAAGGCTCTTGCTATCATCTTAAAAATGATACACAGCACTTCTTTGAAAAATTCTTAAATGCCACCTATGAGGCAAATAAATAGATACCACTCCCTTGTTTGTATAAGAGGTGGGGCAAGAGAAAGCACTGGCTGAAGATGGGCAGAACCAGGTCACTGACATTCACGCCCAACTTTGCACTCACTCTGCTGTGAGCTCACCCAAGAGACCACCTGAATGGTTCTTTCTGAGCTAATCTGCAGTTTGGGCTCCACCCATGTGGGAAATGCTCCAGAACTTGGACAGCTCCTGGGTGCACAGAATTTGTGTAAGCTACTTACTCAAGATATCCTATCTGTACCTCCCAACTTCTAATCCTTTTCCAATGCCTCTTGCTCTGTTATGGTTCTTTCTAACAGTTAAAAGATTTCTTCAAAGAAAACAGAAATACAAATGGTTTGAGAGCACAAAATTGCCCTACAGATTTGTTTGGCCACATGACTTGAAATTCAGACATCTTTCCAGCAGAAGTATACTGCATAGGAGCCAATAATCCTGGATTCATGCCCCAGTTTTGTGTATACAGTATCTGGTTGTGTTAAATCATTTAACTTAATTGAGCTATTGTTCATCTGTGTAATTAGGAAAGTAGTCCCAATCTACTTCAATGGGTTGATGAGTCTCTAGTAGACAAAAATAATATGTAGTTAGTATTTAGTGAATGCTTTCTCAATCCCATGATTCTTGTTACATTAAAATGACCAAATTAACTAAAAACTAGGCATATATAGATGTGTTTTAGAAACTAGATTCAGTCATTCTTAATGAATCAATTCAGCACCCTCCATCCCATGAGAGAGATGCCATTCATATTTCCCTGTACAAATAAATAGTGTATAGAGCAGTTAAGTAACTTACCCAAAATTCCTCATTTAATAAACATCGGATCCAAATATAACCCCTAAATACCATACTTTGCTGCATTTCTAATCATCTCTACAACAATATGTAAACATTACAGTATTATCAACATAGTCTGCCTTGACCTTTTATGAAATCCAAGCTCTTTGCCGTTACATGGCATATTAAAGGGATGGGGGGAGAGTGAGAGAGGAGGCAGGAATAGATAAAACAAAAGTATGGTGAGCTACTTCCCATGCCCTCTTTTAATACTCTCATATGTTGAATTCCTCAGCCTTACATGACCACCACCAAGAATCTGGACTAAGGGACATTCTCACGCTAGCATTCCTCTCACCTCTCAGAAGAACAAGACAATGCAAAACTAATCACCTAGCACATACTTGACAAGTTTTCCTTCTCTAGGAATCCTCCAAAATTCAATAGTGGGTATTTTCAATTTCTCCATCCAGGGTACTCTGTCTGCTTATAGTCTTGGGGGAATCAATAAATCTCTTGGATCCCAAGCTTCCTTGGTTAAAAAAAAATTATATGTATGTATCCTGAAAGGCTGCTTGATTCCCACATGAGATGAGAGTTTGAAGTCAACCTAACATTATAATTTCGACCCCAGGAGAGATCACAGACAGTTATCTGTGATACCAAGAACTGTGCAAACTAACACCAACCCAGTAAAAGTCATCAGGCCGAGAGCTTTGTTTCCCACCCCATTACAACTTCTAGTTTTGCTTTTGCTCCACTGGATAGGGGTTAAAATTGAAGACAATTCTCTTGTTTTTTTTAAAGAAATGAACCCCCCAAAATACCAATCAAACCTAACTCCTTCGAAATCTGCTTTTCTGAAATCCTAGGAATGACAGTACTAAACAGGATCTATTATTTCTACTCACCAAGGCCATGTCACGTAGAACTATCATTGTCATCTTGCTCTGGTTGCCTACTTTGTGGAATCAGCTCTTTCTTGCGTGTGTCTCCCTGTGCAGGTCTGCGCTGTGTCAATGACAGTACCTTTCAGTTTTATAGCAATCACTGTCCCTATTTCGATTGACCTGCTTAATGTTGTGGTTTAACCATATTACTGACGACTGTAGGTTTTCTTTTAATATTCCACTTCCTGAGAGGAGTAAATCTTCCTTCCCCCCACCATTGCCCTGAAATTATAGCAAAATTCTTAACTAATTGATTACAGAGGTGAACCAAATTATAAATTGCTGTCATAATCTTTTATGTTCTTCCACAAATGGCTAAAGAATCTTGTCATGTTCTCTGTGTTCTACTTTCAGGTCATGCAACCTGAACTGTGATTTAAATGGGAGCTCAATCATTCTTAGGGGAGTCTTGGTATTAAACAAGAGAACCGTCTTTAGTTCTATTTTATAAATGGGAAAACAAAGTCAATGAAATTAATGACATCAATGAGAGATTCAGAAATTGCATCCCCAGGTAGCTTCAGGGTCTCCATGAGCTAATTTTATTTTAACCCCATGGTTAGACTCCTACTGATGCTTAATAAATAATCATTATTCAAACAACATATAAATGACTACTGACTTAGCTATCTCTGATTGAGGATTTTTTTTAAACAAAAATGAATTAGTAAGTAGAGCCTTTCAGTGCTCCAATTTGTGATTTTAAAGTTAATTTGTCTTGGTTCACTTCAGGTCAAGAACATTTATTAATAACATGCTATATGTCAGCCATTGTACCCTAGGGATATATAGACATTTCCAAGATAACATTAACTTAATTTTTATTCTCCACTATGATCAGATAAAATTTTCACATGCTCTTTTAGCAGGACAATGTTTTTTTTTTTTTTCTATCACAACCTACATGAACAACTTTCTTTCATTTTAGTTAACTGAAGCAACTCAGGTTTATTGAAAGTATATTTAAGATTTATCAAAATTCTTCTGTGATCATGAGACTTCCATCCACTTATATTCAGACCAGGCCTGTGGATTCTTCTGGGTACCTCTTCTCTGAAACCATCCAAAGTTTAACTTCTTTTTTAAAAAATATTTATTTATTTATACAAGAACTGGGGTACAGGCCAGAGGTGCAGGGGGTGAGAGGATTCACCAGAGACAGAATGGGGTACAGAACAGACAGATTGACTGAAATACACTGCTGCGTCCTAACCCCTTGAGCCACAGGAAGGCCCCAAAGTTCAACTTCTATTTAAAAAAAAAGACATCTTTGGCATCTCAGGCATGATTCCCTTCCTCATTAGCTTTACTCATAGTTGTCTATTTCACATTTGCTTATATATTTTAGGATGGGGTTTTCACAGACTTGGGGTAACTTCAGTTCCCCCCATAACCTCCACCTTATGCTCTTCTATAAATATATATTCCCAAATATATAATCTAAATTAAAATTTCCATGTATATACACATTTAAGAAAAAAAACCTAGTCAACTTCTTCTAGCCTGACTGAAGCCCCTGAACACATCTCATAGAGATTCATCAGGGTCTCAATGGATTTGTGCTTTCATATACTCAGTGAAGCTAGAGTAATGGATTCAGATTTGCCTGTATCACTCATGCTACCAAAACAGTGTATACAACAGACCCTCTTTATCTGGGCATTTACCCAGGAGAGTACGGGTAACTTTTGGTGTTTGATTTGACAAAGAACTATATTCTTTGTCTTTTCTTTGTTGCACACTAAAAATATTAAAGTTCCTTTCCATTTAAGGTCTTAAGCATATATTTGTCTTGATGTAGCAGATGGCAGAACTATTTAGAGCAGGCAGATTTGGGGGTTCCAGAATTGCCCCTCACTCTGCTTAGTAACAGAATCAGAGTCTGACCATAGAAAATTCCACCTGCATGGCAATGGGATCCTCACATCAGCCAAGCAGGATTTTAAGGTCACCATAGACCAAAACTTGTCTTCCATTTTCTCTCCACATGGAAGTGCTTGTTGCTATTTTCCTGCTTCTGCTCTGCCCACACTGACCTTTTATAATAAATCCTTGATTTTGGCCAGATACTCTGATAAGATGGGGCTCTCCCTTGGGAAAAGGGTGAAAATATTACAAATACAAAAAGATAAAACCAAGTATTTGATAAATGGAAGGGGAACTGTGTAGAAATCACTAATGGTTACCAAAATACTGTTCTTGTCAAATTTTGGGGAACCTGGAGGATTACACTCTTTTCCTCCTTGTTAAATGACTTGTTTTGGTCAATGATATGTGCGTGGAAATGAAGTAGATACGTCACTTCCAGGCACAGTCTAAAACCCATGTGATTTTTCTCCTCTACCTGGGGCATTATGGTAACAGTGGGGGAAATGATGGCATAGGAAGGGGGGCTGGCTGTCTCAGTGGGTAGGGGAGCTGAGCCTCCCTGGTGACCTACATTAGATATGAAAGCATGATGGTGCAATTAGCCTCCATTCTTGAAATCACTGGGACTTGGGATCGTTTATTATTGTCACATATCCCAGCCTACACCTTTCTGTTCTTGAAAATATTAGAGATAGAGGCATTCAATAATTTTGCAGCTTTTCTTTTCTTTTTACTTTTTGATCAGAGCTCTGACTCCTTATTAAAATAGACAGCTAGACAATATTATCAGACATTAGGTTTATTTTTAAAGATTTATTTATTTATGCATACAAGAACTGGGATACAGTCCAGAGGTGCTGAGGGTGGTGGTGAGAGGATTCACCAGAGACAGAGTGGGGAGCAGAACAGGCGGATCAACTGAAATACACTGCTGAGGGGAGCAGCAGGTGAGACAGGAGAGGTCTGCTGCGCCATGTGGGTCACCTCCCTGGCCGGGGATCTAACTCTTGCTGCAGTGGTTGCAGATTGCTTCAAAGTGCTGTGTCTTAACCCATTACACCACCAGGGAGGCCCCAGATACTAAGTTTAAACAATATTTATAAAGAGCTAAGTGAAAAAAATGAGACTATTATCCACTATCTTATTCACTAAACAAAATCCATTGATGTATAACTTACTTTAATCCCAGTCTTAGCTCCAAATGATATTAAAACATTTCATTCTAATTTCCCTGAACATTTTTTGATGTTAGGGTCAGACCCTTCTGAATATGGGTTAAGAATTTATATGGGTCAGAACAAATGATTATGGTTTTTCTTCCCAACCTTCAAAATTCTTACAGTTTTTCTCTCTTTCTCTCAAGCACAAAAATTCTTCCTTTGCTTAGGCTACTCAAATGAATTAAAATCAGTATACTTGTCTTTCTAGGCCCTAGATCTTTTAGAAAATCCACATCCCAGCCCCTCTCATACCCTTACCTCTCTATCTCCGTTTGAAAAAATACATATATGGTATCACGGCAACATACAGATCTGGTGAAGCTACAGATCCCACAAACTTCACATAAACCATTCTTTCCCTTTTAATGCAAAAATTATTTCTAGTTTCAAAATTCTCTGCACCTGTGCATCCTGTCTTAACTATTTGTTTGAGTTAAATATTCAAACCCATTGCATATATTTTAGACTAGCCATAAAATCACTCTCCATAGCAACTATTTCTTCGGGCAGGAAAATATGTCAACATATTTTCCCTATGAAAAGATTTTCAAGAACAAAACAATTTTACTTTTGGTTTAAAAATTGGAGTTCATTATAATGCCAATTTTTCATATGAAAATGCTTTGCCAGGTTCTTCATATGCTGATATTTGTAAGGATAGGAATTACTTTGGGGCTTAGTCCAACAAAGGATGAAACTACAGTAGCCCTTCTCTCTCCTTCTTTCTCTGTGACACCTCTCCCCTCCTCTGTGTGTGTGTATGTGTGTGTCTGTCTGTCTGTCTGAAAAAGTATAAATCCTGATTTTTGAAATTAGGAAACTGAAAACATGACCATTTTGTGTAAAAAGCTGTAGGGGAAAGAGATGAAGGGGGGATTGAAGCCAAAAGCTGAAAGGGAAGAAAAGTAAAAATAGGGGAAATGACTGACTTAGAAAGGAGCTTCCCTCAAGTGCTGTGTGAGAATCTATGTTAAATAGGGTTGAGGTCACTGGAGAACGTTCCAGATGGAATGAGGGACCCCTCAATTCTGAGTCTATTCCCATGGGGTTTTTCATACCAAGGTACTATCTTCTTGTTAACAAAAATACCATTCCTTAAACAGCCACTCTGTGACTGTCCATTGTTGCAGGTACTTAATATGGGTAAGAGGAAGAAAAAGAAAAGTCCTATCTAAAAAAGAAGGCATAAACTCACCAGAACAATTCTCTCCATCCAGAGATGACATAACCTTTCAGTCGGGGCAGATGACATTTTTGTTTTGGGAGAGAATTTACATTGGATCTCTTTTGAAACACAAAAATAGAACCTATTCTAGGGGTAGAAAGGAGGGAAAGCATGACACATACAAAGGATTAGGCTTTGAGTTATCCATGACAAGAAAAGAAATGGAGAAAATTGTCCATAAGATGCTCGCAGAAGCTGGCAGGTAAGGAAATTCTTATGACCCACGAGCCCAGTATTTGAATTGTTTCCATGTCACATTGTGCTTTAATTAATTCTATTTCACTATTCCTATGTCAAAGATAAAATTCTTTACATACAAAACAGTCTCATGATGTCTGTACAGCAATAAATTGATGTTAAGAAAGAACACCTTCAGGAGGGGAGACAGCAAATATGGGTCAGGCAAGAATTTAAAATAAGAAAGGAAGTCTGTCCCCCAACCATCTAGGAGGGGCTTACTGCTCAGCATCTGACCCTGGAACCAGCAGTATGTTGTTTGCTGGTGTTGGGGGACAGCAAGAATTGAGGATTCTTGGTGTCTAACAAGGAAAGAATTTAACAAAGCACCAATAATAAAGCAAACGACAGAGTTTGAGAGCACAAAGTGCAAGACTCTTCACAAGGCATCGGGCAGTCTCAGAAGACTTGAGATCTGC